GTCAATACATATCAACAACATTTCTTGGAAGAAACAACATCTACGCGTTCCATCCGAGCGTAAGATTCAGGTTTTCATACGCGTTTCTCCATACGCTTCAGAGATATGGTTCACGACAAAGAGGGCATCCCATAATCGAATATCACATCTATTATTTTGATTTAACAAAATTTTATTAAAGATAATAACTGCTAAGTAGACCACCAATTTTCAAAACTTTAAAGAAATGTTTAAACTGTTTATTAAATATAACATTTAAATTTGTAAATATCACATTGTCACCATTCAAGATATAACTAAAATAAAATAGCAGATAAAAGTTTTTATGGAAAATGTCATATTTGAAGCTAGAACGATTCATTTTTTGTTACGCTTTTTAAGTTTTTTTAATAAATACCTTATAATATTATGAAAGTGAAAACGTGACTCTGTCTGTTGTCTTAAAAGCCAAAACATTTCCACTCGAACTGATTTAAATGAAAAAATAATTTGTCTAGATCTCTCTTCGAGATCAACCAAGACTAAAATAATGCTAAAATATTATAAGAGACTGAAAAATTTTTTTAAAAGTTTAAGTCTGTCTTATTTTTTGAAACGTATTGATTAAATATAATTAACGAAAATGGGTTGTAAGGGTCAAAAGGGGAGTTAAGAGAGGCAAGGGTCAAGAGAAAATATCAACCTACCGCCGACGGTAAATGGTTACAGTATAGCGACATCTTATCATTGATACATGATGACACTAATATAAGTAGCATTAAAAAAACAAGAAAAAGGGTTATAAGGGGTTGAAAGGGGAGATGTAATGTTTGTATGGTATGTATGGAAGTATCTTCATTTTAAAGATTAAAGATTTGAAACTTAGTTTTTGGCTGTTGATTGAATTGTATGGAATTATGTATGGAAATTTCATTTTTGAAAAAAAAACTTTTTTATTGGGTTAGATTATTAATATATATTTTTTATTATTTGCACAAGGTCACTATTTTACGCGGACGAAGTCGCGGGTACAGCTAGTGAGTTATATATTTAAATATGAGACATATAATTTAAAAAGCTTTTAATAAATGTTATTATAATTCATATAATAAAAAATGACAGAACACTAAATCAGTTTTACACCTTTGTATATACCAACAATACTGAATAATTAATTATTCATAATTTATTATTAAATACATATTTATTATTAATTGCTAGGCTACGTAGTTTCTGAACTTACTAACATAATCCAATTATAACTTTGAAATATATTTTTTTATTAGGCATAATAACATTGAAAGAATTTGTACCTTATGAAGAAAAAAATTGTTCTAATAATAATAAGTCTATTAGTTTAATATATCGACCATATTATGAGGAAATTATTTTTCGCCCCTTTGGCAACTATTATAAATTCACAAAGCTCGTCAAGTCACATTATTGAACACAAAATGTTAGACATAAAGATAGAAAAAAGTCAGAGATAAAAGAAAAGCAAGATGTGGTATGCTTGATACAGAAGTAGGTAAAGAACTAAAGAATATTGTCTGTAATGGGGTGGAGTAGAGAACAAGAGTAGTGCAAAACTCTTAAATCAAAGAAGAACTGATTAGATATTTTTATTTCAGAAACCTATCGGAATACTAACAACGACAGCTGGCAGACCAGTTGATTTGAGAGAAACAACCACTATCAACAACGATGGTCTGACTTCGAATGAATTTTTTTTGGATCACGTATTGCACGTTGAATCTGAGAAAGTACCCGAAAGAATAGTACATGCTAAAGGAACAGGTGCATTTGGTTATTTTGAAGTTACTCACGACGTTTCAAAATATACAAAAGCAGACGTTTTCAATGGTATTGGCAAAAAAACTCCTACTGTCGTTCGATTTTCTACGGGAGCAGCGAGTACAGGTGGAAACGATATTGCCAGGGAGGCAAAAGGCCTCGCTATCAAATTTTACACAAATGAAGGAAATCTTGACTTTTTAGGACTAAACATACCCGTTTATTTTTACCCAGATCCTATATTATTCGGTCCAATCGTGCATTCTTTCAAAAAAAATCCACGCACTAATCTAATAGATGAAACTTCGAGATGGGATTTATTTACATTGAAACCCACTATTTTACATGGATTATTCTGGGTGTTGTCTGATTACGGTATACCCAATGGGTATAGAAAAATGGATGCATTTCCAATACACACGTACGAAATAAATAACGAACATGGAGATAGATATTACGCCAAATTCAATTTCAGAACTGAACAAGGTTTAGAAAATTTGACAACAGCTGAAGCAGCAGCAATAACAGCTCAAGATCTAGACTACTCTACAAGAGATCTCTATAATAACATTGCACTCAAAAATTATCCCTCATGGCGATTAGAAATGGATATTTTGTCATTCGATGATATTAAGAATGTCGATTACAATCCATTCGATGTAACAAGATTATGGAAAAACGGCACCTATCATACAGTGCAAATAGGACGATTGGTAATTGACAGGAATCCCGATAATTTCTTTAGAACTGTGGAATTAAGTGCCTATAATCCAGGTAATTTAGTTCCTGGTATTAACAGCCCGCCAGATACGCTGTTTAAAGGTAGAAGACTAGTTTATAGAGATACACACAACTATCGCTTAGGAATTAATCACAACAAAATCGAAGTAAATACTCCGAAATATGCTAAGACCTATAACCGAGATGGACAAGCTCCAGTTAAAGATAACATGAAAGATATACCGAATTATTTTCCAAATTCATTTAATGGTCCTATACCGGTAGTCGACGAGACTCGTCCCAAAGAACGAATGATTGTATTTGAAAGTAACGCAGTTGACTTAGAACCATCCTCTAATTTCTATAGATACGTTTTGAGTGATGAAGGACAAAAGCAAAGATTTATTGATAACATTGTTTTATCACTTGTCGCGGTGGTTACCGAAGTTCGAAAGAAGGCTTTGAGGCTTCTTACTCTTATTGACCCTGAATTAGGAAGAAGAGTTGGTGCTGGTTTAAACGTAACAATCGCAACAACATAATTCATGGCAATAGATTAATTCCTATTAGATATGTGTAGCGCACTCTTTAGGGTGTGCCCGTATCTAGCTGATTACCGCTGTGCACCAGTACAAGGCGATTCAAATTTTAATGACTAAAAAAAGTATCTAATAAATAGTGCACAACATTAATGTATTTATTAATTTGCAAACAAATCTAATATGGGTCTATTAAATAATGTGGTTGTAAATTAATAACCATGAGTATAAATACCCATATGTTTTTGTATGAGGTAATTGATTGCTGTTGCAGGAATAATATACATTATATAATCATCATTAATCGTAATCGATTTTTGTAATTTTCTATTATTATTCTTCTTCTTCCAATTTCTGAACCATTTGTATCTGTCTACCAATGTACCTATTTTTATTTTTTCTTAAGGTCAACATTTGTGTTGTTATTTTATTCGGGTAAAAATTTTGACGAATAAATGTGTCGAACAAAAATATTTCTTTTATTGAATGAAAATCAATATTTTTATTTTTTTATTTTTTTCTTATTCTGCAACATCGAGACCTAAGATGATTTCCTGCATTTTGCCACTTTTGTTTAAGAGAAGTGAGCGAAACAGTAAAATAATACATAATATAGTTTGTTACATAATGCTAGTAATCTTTATCATACCAATTTTTACTTTCGAATATAATATCTATAAATGCTTCCCGGCTCCGCTGGTAGGTACTTTTTGAGTTTATCCAGTAGGTACATACAATAATTCAAGTAACTTCTATTTATAAGTTTAGTTTAGATTAGTAGGTATTGTAGGTATTTATATAACTGAAATTATTTATTAATTATATAATTAAGGGCACTTGGGTGGGTATCCCTCAGTTTCCAGTAGAGGGTATCTATGGCTTTTGATTTATCCTTTTGGTTCAGAATACAAAAAACAATTCACATGAAGAAAGGTACATACAAAGTACTTATTTTATACATATTAATAATTAGTTTGCAGGTACAATAACACTGGTCTAGTCCTGAACTCACAGCGCAATCATAAATCCTATTTTTCACTCATTGCGATCTACAAAATATGTATACTTCGAGTTTTTACTAACATCGTTCTCACCTGCAACACACACTGTGGCATAAATTGTCGATTAAGTAAGTATTAACTATGTAATATAATATTATCACTAACGTAATCATAACCTCAAACGAGTCATATAGCTGTGGTAGGTGGTGACTTTCAGTTACATCATAAGTCTGGATTTGGATTACCTCGGTAGAGTTCCAAAAAAAACTTACTTCAGTGTATTATTTTTAAGGATATGAACACATGAATTAATCTGGTTATTACGTAAGGGTTTCTATATTAGGTACTTAACTACTAGCGACTATATTACACGACTTCTTCCGCGTGCAATTATTTTTTTTATTTAAAATCAATTTTATTTTAAAACAAAAAGTAGTCGATGATACTCGTTATGACATTAGCTATCTGCGAGTGAAAATCCCATTAAAATCGGATCAGCGGTTTCAAAGATTAGTAAGAACAAACAGACATGCAGTCAGATAAATCGTGTATACTTTCATATGTACTTAATAAAAATTTTTAATTGTTTGCAATTTGAAATGAACAGTTTTTCGGTATACCATTTGAAAGTATACACGGTAGTTGCATGCAGCCTCGACCAACACGGCCTGCCGTTATTTTAATTCATAACCATCTAGTTTAGTTTTTATTCTAGAATGCTCAAGTAATACAACAACATTGTAATAAATATGATAGGTAATATCCATCTATTTATATATACAAACACTTATAATCAATGCAATTAATCATGGTTAATAGATATAACACGCACAGTATCGGAAATACATTGTTTTCAATTAATAAGGCGTATTAAATAATTAATTTCGTACTTAACTAGGTACATTAAAAGATTATTTAAACCTGGTAAATACAATTTCGCAACAAAGTATAGATTGTGCCCAAGAAAATGCCTGTTTGTAACTTACTACTTTTGTTGCTTATTGGAACCGTTCGTGCCTGTGACTACGTGAATAACACATTACCACCTGCAGGGCGCCAACTTCTAGATTTTAGACTGTGTCATCCGGTAAATTTTATAAATATATAATGTATAAAAAATACTTGACTAATAAATATATTAGTCAAGTATTTTTTTATTTTAAAATAGTCGTCCTGGCAAACGTTGTTTCGCCATATAAATTAATAACACTATAAAAAATAGGGGCTGGTGTTAGAAGGGTGAAAATTTAGGGTTGTATGTATTTTTTTATAAACCATAATAAAAAAAAATCCCCAAAAAATAAAAAATAATGTTAGGGGTGGACAACCCTTATCACTTAGGGGTATAAAAAATAGATAGTAGCTGATTCTGAGATCTACTGAATAAGCATATAAAATTTCATAAAAATCGATCAAGCCGTTTCAGAGGAGTATGGTAGCTAACATTGTGACACGAGAATTTTATATATCAGATAACTTTATTCACAAAAAAGCATGGTATAAAAGAAGACTTTTATCCTAGAAGCATTCTCACTGGTTAACTTTTGGTATGACGATGGGGCTTTAATACCAAGTATGGCATAAGAATAAGTAATCAAGCTAGAGTTAATACAACATGGAACAACATTTAGTTTTTTCAAGTAAAATTACGTTTTATTTAGTAAAGGCTTCTGATAATAAAGCTATGTATAAATAAACTGGGAAAGTTTGCAGTTACCTACGTGTTAATTAAAACGATAGAGCCATTTCTATTCATTTAATGTATGATATGAATAATTATCCATAATTTATTATTATATAATTCGATTCATAGTTTTATAGTTCCTGAACTTACTAACGTAATCTAATTGACCATTGAAATAGATTTTTATTAATATTTTGTTAGACTTAATAAAAGTGAAAGAAATCGTACCCTGGAAAAAAAATGTTCTAAGAATATTTTTACAGTTCCGTATGTTTCGCTCATTCGACCACTGTTATAAATTTAAGAAGTTATCTTTATTGAACACAATATGTATTAGACATAAGATAGATAAAGGTCAGATATAAAAGGAAAGCAAGGTGCATGGTACGTTTTATACAAAAGTAGTTAAAGATGTGTTAAATCAAAGAAGAACTGACTAGATATTTTTATTTCAGAAACCTATCGGAATACTAACTACGTCAGCTGGCAGACCAGTAGATCCGAGAGAAACAACCACTATCAACAACGATGGTCTCACTTCGAATGAATTTCTTTTGGATCACATGTTGCATTTTGACGCTGAGAGGGTACCCGAAAGAATAGTACATGCTAAAGGAGCAGGCGCATTTGGTTATTTTGAAGTAACTCACGACGTTTCAAAATATATAAAAGCAGACGTCTTTAATGGTATTGGCAAAAAAACTCCTACTGTCGTTCGATTTTCTACGGCATTAGCGAGTAAAGGTGGAAACGATATTGCCAGGGAGTTGAAAGGCTTCACAATTAAATTTTACACAAATGAAGGAAACCTTGACTTGTTAGGACTAAACATACCCGTTTATTTCTATCCAGATCCCATATTGTTCGGTTCATTCATTCGTGCTTTCAAAAAAAATCCAAGCACTAATCTATTTGATGAAACTTCGAGATGGGATTTGGTTACACTGAAACCCACTATTTTACATGCATTTTTCTGGATATTGTCTGATTATGGTATACCCAATGGATATAGAAGAATGGATTCATTCCCAATACACACGTACGAAATAAAGAACGAACATGGAGATACATATTACGCCAAATTCAATTTCCGAACTGAACAAGGTTTCGAAAACTTGACAACAGCTGAAGCAGCAGCAATAACAGCTCAAGATCTAGACTACTCTATAAGAGATCTATATAATAATATTGCACTCAAAAATTATCCCTCATGGCGATTAGAAATGGATATTTTGTCATTAGATGATATTAAGAATGTCGATTACAATCCATTCGATGTAACAAGATTATGGAAAAACGGCACCTATCATACAGTGCAAATAGGACGATTAGTACTTGACAGGAATCCCGATAATTTCTTTAGAGCTGTGGAATTAAGTGCCTATAATCCAGGTAGTTTAGTTCCTGGTATTAATAATCCGCCAGATACGCTATTTAAAGGCAGAAGACTATTTTATAGAGATACACACAACTATCGCTTAGGAATTAATCACGATAGAATCGAAGTAAATACTCCGAAATATGCTAAGACCTATAACCGAGATGGACGACCGCCAGTTGAAGATAACATGAAAGATGCACCGAATTATTTTCCAAATTCATTTAATGGTCCTATACCGGTAGTCGACGAGACTCGTCCCAAAGAACGAATGATTGTATTTGAAAGTAACGCAGTTGACTTAGAACCATCCTCTAATTTCTATAGATACGTTTTGAGTGATGAAGGACAAAAGCAAAGATTTATTGATAACATTGTTTTATCACTTGTCCCGGTGATTACAGAAGTTCAAAAAAAGGTTTTGAGGCTTCTTACTCTTACAGACCCAGAATTAGGAAGAAGGGTTCGTGCTGGTCTAAAAGCAGCAATCGCAGCAAAATAGTTCACGCAACAGATTAATTCGTATTAGATATCTATATGTAAAATATTATTTAGATTATACCCGAATTTAGCTGATTACTACTGTACACCAGTGGGTACCTACCTATAGAGATTAAGATACAAATGTTTCATTTTAAGGACTAAACAAAGAAATAAATAGTGCACAACACCATTAATGTATTTCTTTATTTGCTAAACAAATCTACAAATTTTATGTGGGTCTTGCAAAGTATATAAATATCTATGTGTTTTTTTGCTACACCAAGTCTCAATTGCCTCAAATACTATCTTTACTAATATTATAAATGCGAAAGTAACTCTGTCTGTCTATCTGTCTCGCTTTCACGCCAAAACTACTGAACCCATTTATGAAATTTGGTACACAGATAGTCTAGACCCTGAGAAAGGACATAGGCTACTTGTGAATACGATAGAAGGGTTATAAGGGGTTGAAAGAGTTATGTATAGAAGTGTCGTCATTTTTGAAGATGAAACGATGGAACTTTTTCATTTGGCTTTTATTGGGTTAGGTCTTTAAATATTTTTTTCTTTATTTGGTCAAGGTCACTATTTTACGCGGACGAAGTCGCGGATACAGCTAGTATCTATATAATGGGTAAAATAAATAAACAGTAGACATTGCAAACAGACGAGGAAATATTGGGATACGATACGGCATGAGTTTTGCACATTATTATTAAAGGAAAGATATATCACAGATAAGACAATATCTTATATTAAGCAGATTATATACATATTTATGTATTATTAGATATAAGCAGTGTATTCTAGCTGAAGAGTTCTGCCTGCTGTGTATTAGCAAGCATACTCAAAGCAGAGAGTAGGTATTGTTAGTAATAGGGCTTAGTGGTTCTCTTACTAGCAGTAGATATACCGACTATGTCAGAGGTCGTTATTTCTGAGATGGGCTAACAGTCCTGACTTCATGATCATCCGGAGAGTAGTGTAGAGCAGTCGGTTGCAACATTATATTATCGTATCAATAAAGTTTAAATAAATAAGTACAATGTACAAAGTTATCTGTGTAGGCGAATGTTTTAATGGATGATAATAGAATGTTGCAACCGACTGCTCTGTACTGCATTCCGAATGATCATGAAGTCAGGACACTGTCCTGAGGACAGTTCAAACATGCAAAGTTTTTGTATAACAATAAAATGACTACACCACGGCACAAAATCATAATATACAGAACACAAAAACCTTCGTAGCCTATTTCATATGTAGCTATATATATTATATAAGCAACTTGCTTTGTAAGCTGTTTCGTTTCGGTTGTAGAATTAGAGTAGGTAGAAAAGTCACAGGATAGGTCTTAGACCTTCAGAATGGCAACGCATGAGTAAACACATGATTACATGATGTCCGTAAAGCTTTTTCTGTTTATATATATGCGACAGTTACCACTTACCAAGCCAATTAGAAAACAAAATACTACGCAGTTGCAAACCTACAGAAATGTATTACTTTGTATAAAGTAACAATAATTACACGCTAAACAGTTAATAGGCATTTAATTTACTTATTCCCCGAACACTTATCTAGCAACGGAAATTTAATATTATACCAATTATAGCTGAACTGCGTGCATATGCGTTGAATTGAAGCTTATAATGTAAAAAAAATTAAACAGCCTAGCCGATATGTAAAGCACACTAAATGAATAGCAAATTACCTGAAATGGCAATGAGGCGGACGAGGAAGGTGTCAAGAAGATCGACTTTGAGGACAAGACGATGATGCCAACGACCACAATGACTAAAACAGCGGGAGGGTAAGAGTTTTAATACTAATATTATAAATGCGAAAGTAACTCTGTCTGTCTGTCTCGCTTTCACGCCAAAACTACTGAACTGATTTAAATGAAATTTGGTACCCATATAGTCTAGACGCCGAGGAAGGACATAGGCTACTTTTTAATGCGAAAAAAGGGAAGTCGCGGGTACAGCTAGTATATGATAATAGAAGAGTTAACAACCTGTTGTTACATTTTACGCTGGTGGGACACTAGTGGGAGATGATTAGGAATGTCAGTTAGCCCATCGTGACAAATTCACTTTTAAGTAAACACGGTTGAAGCCAATAGGATGAATTTTCACAGAATATGTTACTTAATATGGTTCAACACAAAGACTAAAGAAAGTTCGGAAAAATTAATATTTTTATATATTATTAGGAGCAAAAATATTTTGTTTTATTATTATTATTATTACATATGTACCTATTTACCGGTTTTGTTACTTTTATATGATTATGTCATAGTTCTTTTATGTTCACTTCTCAATTATTTTGTATTGTATTTAGGGATGGGTTAGGGCTTCATAAATATTATATAGCACATTGAAATATATAACTTTTGCTTATTAATTGTAACTATGATTACTATTAAACAAAAAAATGAAATGTTTTTATAGATATTTGCATAATCAGTGCTACATAAGAATTTAGCATGTAATAGTTCTTTTGGGTAATCCCGATATGAAAAGTAACAATGTTTTGACAGGGATTACTCTGTTTGGTATTTAGATACCTGTATAGTAAATAGGAATATTGATCAGAAATAGATTTCTCTAAGTTGCTAAACAGTATCTACTAAGTGTGTATCATACATATGTTATAATATGTAATTAACTTATTTACTATAATTGTAGCTTAGTAAAATTATACAATAGAATAACAACAAGAATTGTATAATATATTAAATTTATTACAAAATTATTAGTTCTGTATTATAAAAATATTCATATTTGTAATTAATTTATTATGATTATGCAGAAGATGACTTGGTTGTCACTCAAAAGAATGTTTAGTTATTGTTAAGGTTTTATCAAATATAGTTTCTTTGTTAATGTAAATTCAATTTTTGGTAACTGATCACAACACAATTTTGCACAAGTTTTGCGCATCTCATTATTAACTTTTAAAAATAAATCACATAAATGTTCTTTGTTTGCAAATTTTTGTATAACTGAACATAATATTTGTATAAATAATGATCCAAACCCCTCAATCCTATAAGCTTCATAATCTGGTGCAGTAGCCCAGTATATCAGGACATCTGATTTTTTTATGTAGTGTTTTGGTGCGTCTGCAACTAGATCAATATTTTGATATTTGTCTTCATTGTTAACCTGACATGCTTGTATCACAATCACTTTAGGCATGCCACGTATATGTTTAACATCATCACAATCCAACAACTTTACAATCTCTTCAATTTTTACTTCGACAGAATCTGCTGCATACACATGCCCTTTAATACCATGAGATAATATGCACAACATGAACATACTATGATTTTCATGTACTCTATATTTAATAACATTTTTTATGTCTTCCAGCATGGTCTCTTTATCCAGATTATCACGAGGTATCACTTCGAAGTTTAATTTTGTCATAGTTTTTTCTAATGCCACTTTATCCTTTGTTGAACCTACTCTTTTCTCTAGTGGTTTAAATTTGAGTTTTCTCTCAATGCTGTGTTTTGAAGGGTGAAATTCTTCTTGATTTAATATATAACATACTCCAACTCTGTTTGGATCTTTAATAGGGTAATATAGGTCATTGTTCATTTTATCAGAACTTAAAGTCATATTTTGAAGACCCTCTAGAAGATCATAACTTTCATTAAACTTTTCAGGTGTGAAATTGTCTTGTACATTATCCTCTTTTACTGTGAGTTCATCTTTATTTGCTACTGATGGAGAAGTTGCAGGGTGTGCGTGTAAGTCATTTACATTTCTTTTACTAATTGACTCTATATATCTTAGTTTATTGGCAAAATTCTTAAAAGGGCTGGGAAAGTTGTCTATTATCCTTGCAATATTTTCTACATTATATTCACTTCCAACAACTTTTTGTCCATAATGATGTTGTTGTATCATAATAAACTTCTGACACATTAAATGAAGCAAAACCAATTCACAACTTTCATAATTATTGGTGTCAATGCTATAAGTTTTTAAAGTTTGTTTAAATCTATCTAGATTTGCAGAGTCCATATATTCACATAAATTATACAGTTCCCGTTTCATAGGATTAATATAATGTTCACCATTTTCCTGGTATCGCTTTTTCACTGCAGAAACATTGAAACCAAGTTTTCTGACCACATTGTAGATTTGGCATGTAACCAATGCCTCAAGAAACTCATGTGTCCAAGTTACCCTGTTCTGTGCATGACGTGCCCATTCTTGCAATAAATTAGAATTTCCTGCACCTATATCCTTATATACGCGTTGGTATATAATAAGGCGCTGCAGGGCTGTTTCGGGAACATCGTACAATAGGAATACCAGGGATGTCAAGTCTTGTGAGTCTAATTCTTTTTCTATCTCAACAATAGATTTTATACTTATAGAAGGGGTGTTACCTGTTGAATTCAAACCGACGTCATTGACTAATGGCACATAACTTGCGTCCGACTTGAGCATTTTAAGAGGTCTATTGAAATATTTTCTGTTCACTTTCAACTGAGTAAGTTTAATTATCAGAGTCACAGGTAGAAACTTTTTTTACAGTTGCGTTTTCTAAGTTTATGAGCACTGAAGAAAGTTATTAGCAACTACGTGGTAAATTATGAAAAGATTACACAAACTAAATAATAAAAATAGAGTACTAAGATAGGATGAATTACTGGAAATGACGAGATAAAGACAAACTTTGTTGCATTATTTTACATTACAGTTACGAATTTTAATAATGAATATTTTAGTGTCAATTACAATACACAACAGTAATAAAGATAAATAAAAAACATTGAAACTAGCATGAAAACCAATTCATGGAACAAAACAGAAAAATTATACAAATGTCAGAATTGGCAAATCGCCCAATGCTGTCACGCTATCATTTTACTTCACCCGAGTTTCTATTATCTATAAAATAAAAAAAGTATAATTTCTAAAATAGTTACTTTAATTGTATCTTTTTTTAACATTTTTATGTTTCATATGTATCGGTAATTATTTATTCACAATCAACCAATCAATCTGCAAATATGTTTTACCCGTCATCAAGGTAAATATAGAACTGGCAATATTTTTTTTTTTTAAATGCGTCATCGATATAAATTTTATTTTATGATCAGGGATTTCCCTAAAGATAGTAAAGGACATATTGGTACAAACTTACACTAAAGTATAATAAGTTATCATACAATATAATATACATTAGGATCATCATCATCATCATCGCAGCCCGGAAGACGTCCACTGCTGGACATAGGCCTCCCCCAAAGATCTCCACGACGATCGGTCCTGCGCTGCTAACATTAGGATCATTGTGTTTTAAATTCCATTTAATTTTTTTATAATTTTTATTTCTTTTATTTTGCAATGTATATATAAGAGATAGTTTCTCGCCAATTCTCTTTAAAAAAAAGAAAAAAATCTCTCTTAGGTCTCATTTCATCAATCGTAGCGTAAACACATTCAAGGAAACGGAGTTCAGCGTGAGCTTGAAAAAAAGAACGACGTTGATCTCATTTTACTTAGGAAGTGATTATTCTGTCAACTTTTATATAAACAATATTCTTAGCTTAAAAGTTCATTTAAAAGTATCGATATTTCTCATAAATATAAAGTTTACACCATTATCGACTTTTACTTATCACTTGATATAGTTTTTTGGTGGATTTCTACTTCGGATGAATATTCGTAGTTTTAATAAAAATTATGAATGAATTTTTTGATGTAATTTGAAAATTAAATGTTGAGTAATTTTCATTTATTTTATGATTATTCTACAAAAGAGTAGAAATTGTAATCGTTCAATTAAAAATAACACTTATTTTATGTTAGAAATCGATTATGTTATCTTATTAATTATTCAAATTAATGTTTTGTAATTTGTTATCGATTTTCCTGTAAACGATTATTCATTCACATCCTTAAATTTCTTGGTTTGTGTCTAAAGTACGATTATTAATCCCAGTCAGTAAAATGGCAAGTGCAACTATCACTGATACAAAAAAGGGTGACCCGCTACAATAGTGATGTCCGGCAATCAATAGACTTAGACATTTAGTCATGCTTTATTTTATTAGATACCGAAATTTTTTTTTTTAATTTTAAATATTTAATACATATCGTATTAAACAATACGATTTTAGAAATATGGACCTTACAGCATATTAAAATTTCTCACTATAACATTATTACAAAGGCTGGGAAAAAATGTAAAAAGAGATTCAGAGGAATTAATACTAGAATTTTTATTTGTATAAAGGTAATTTGATATTGAATAAAAAAAAATGTAATCTCGACTAACTTTTAATTGTAAAAACTCGATTCTACCACATCACTATTTATTTGGGACTAAAAATCTGCAACACTGGAAATGTCATTTTACTGACTGGAATTAATAATCTTACCTTAAAGAATATACTACTCTTTGTGTCACTTTTTGTTGTGAAAAATGAAACTACTTGAAATTTGAAAAAAAATATAACCTTAAAACAATAACTAAGGTAAGATTATTAATTCCAGTCAGTAAAATAACATTTCCAGTGTTACAGGTTTTTAGTCCCAAAAGTCTTCGATACCTAATAAAATAAAGCATGACTAAATGTCTAAGTCTATTGATTGCCGGACATCACTATTGTAGCGGGTCACCCTTTTTTGTATCAGTGATAGTTGCACTTGTCATTTTACTGACTGGAATGAATAATCATACTTTATACCTGTTGATTCATTTAATAGCTTAGACGATTCGTCTAGTTGAAGTGTAGGCGGAATTATTTTTCGCTATTGGAAGGTATTAACAATTTAACTATCATCACAGTATTAGAATAGTAGTAAATAGAATAGTAGTAATAGTAATAGAATACAAATACACCGCCTTGTGAAGTTGTGTTTGTGAGGTTCCTGGTAGCATTTTCTGAAGACTCAAAGCCAAGTGCCAAGTGATTTTACCTCCATATCGCGTCCTTTAGTTAGACTGAACGATATTCAATATCCGTGTAATTATATCTGCTGAAATCACGGTGGTTAGAACAGCAACATAATCAACATATTTTGCAGTATGTATAATTAAATGACATGAAATGCTGCCTAAGGGTTTTGATAAATAAATGTGGTAGATGTGTTATAGATTACATGTACTTATACCGCTACAGTTTGAAGTATTTTGATGTATATAGATGTATATATATACAAGTACTGTATCAAACATTACCTATGTTGTTAAAATATGAAAAACATGTATTTTTCATAGTTGACTCGTTAAGTTTATAAACTTGCTAGATCTACCGAAATTATGATGCATATAATTATCTAGCATCTTTAATAAAACATTTCTGTATTATGTAATCATACAGATCAATTCTTGCAGCATTCTTTTTTGTCATTTAGTAGTGATAAAATTACATTAGTATGTAATTTATGTTTATGAAATATATCAACGAAAACTAATTTCTCCATAATTTCTTGAAGTGATTTAATCTAATTTATGTTAATTTCAGTGGATGGTATCATGCCTACAAGATCAGAAATATTGAGGCTGTACAAAAACTTGATTCTGTATTCAAAATCCTTGAGGTTTACGAATCCTGTATATTTTCGAAGTAGAATATCCAATGAATTCAGGAAAAATAAATTCTTGACTAGCTCAGAAGAAGTCATATTTGCATATAAGGTGAGCTGTTATATCATAAGTATTGTAAATATGTCAAATAAATTGCCTTACTACCATTAGTAAAATTCACTGGGCAATATACTTCAAATTAAAATCAACATGTTTATAAAAACATATTACTTCTATTTCTCTTCAATCCATTCCTCATGCCATTTAAATTGGAATTCCTCAATATCAATTTTCTATATAAACAATTACAAAAAACAATCATTGTAATCCAACGCGGCACATCGAGGCAGCATACCCAAGATACTGGCAGCGTTGCCTCTTTGAATGGCCATGCTTAGCCATTGTGCAAAATAGCTACCAGCTCTCGGGTCACAAGTAACCTCAATGAGCCGCGCTGAAATATATGTCAAAAACAATTTGGCTTCCGGGCTCCATAGGCCCAACGTCTCCACGGCAAATGGTAAAAACCAATAGGACCCCTCCAGATTCGTATATTTTCGTCTTTTTAAAATTGCCGCCTGTGTTGCTGCCGTGCCAGGATGAGAGGACGATCCAGACACATGACAATGACAATTCATCAACAGTAGCACCACAGTTACAGCGATGAGGCTGATTTAGTTTAGCACCCAGCCGCAAACCTACCGCCAGTGTGAGGGTACAATTATCCAGAAGCATACCGGTATGACTTGACTTGCTTGTAGCCAATACCCTGACTCTCTTTCTGCTACTGCCAGAAGACGAGCACGAGATACAGCCGCTTCACAGCGACTCAAAATATTTTGCTGACTTTTAATGCACAGTGGTTCATCCCATTGTCTCTGAGAGAGACACGTATTCGGCGTATCAGTTGACGGACATTCTATTTGCCAGGCATTCACAGCCTCAGCCATACCCCAAATCTCCACGGAACCTGACGAAGGGCTAATGATTTTACCGCAAAGAGAAATAGAAGCATGGACAGAAGCCAAAAATGCTGGAACAGCAATAGAAGAAACCTTTCTCACGCCTACTCCTCCATAGCGTACCCGCAATGTAGCCTGATGCCAGGCATTATCAGTTAACTCACAGTTAAAAATTTTTATTAAAGTTTCCCTTAGTATGTCTAATTTCTCAAGTTGTTCTGGGAATTTCCACACCATTGAGCTTAGAATTGAAAGTATGATGTTTCAACCGAGATTTGAACACTTAGCTCTCTGACTAAATGCGTATCTATCAGGTAGGAGTAGGCCTTCAGCTGCTCCACAAGTTTTACAGTGGGTTTACCCGCACTGTGTATGTTGTAAAAGTATCAGTGAAGAATGATAGGATGAAGCATGCAGTCAGGTTAGTTATCCAATTGCGGAGAATTCTCCACAAAATATACACAATACTTTCCAGGGAGAATCACTTGAAGATTGAACTTAGGAAAGGACTATTGGCCACATTACTAAGCTAATATTAATAATCGCTTCTCCCTAAAAAAGTCAGGTCCAGAAACAGGATGTATATTGAATAAAAATAAAAAATGAAATGTGCAGTTTGTGACATTATTATATAATAATTCAATTAAGATAATTTCCATTGGTATTTAGGACTTTTTGTCAACGATTAGGCAAATCATATATAAACAATTCATAGTCTTTTAGACTATCATCTTGGTTACTAAATTTTTCCTTCTCTTCAAAATAAATTATAATTACGAATTAGAGAGGTTAATGGTAATTCCTGTAATAGGTATTTCCACTAACTTCTCTAATTCCGGCAGTAATACTTATTTTTTTCTATTAATAAATTGATGTGGTAAATAATTTACACTTAGTACTTAGTTATAATTTTTTATTGAATATGTTTACTCCACCTCTATTTATTTATTTGTTTACAGAAAGGATTGGCACTACTGAATCGTGGATCGGTTGTATAAGATGTTTTCTACTTCAATATTTATTCTAAGGAGAAGTTTATGTGTATCATACCCATCAGCATTCAAACATACCTTGGACTATTCTCGAGTGCCTAAAATACAAGAGCTTGATCTGTCAGAGCAGTTTGTTAGAGGTGGTGGCCCAGGCGGTTCTGCTGTAAACAAAAATGCTAATTGTGTAGTGCTGACCCATTTACCCACAGGTAATAATAAATCAATATTAAAAGCAAATAAAATAAAAAATAATTTATTCATGTTGGACATTTTAGCCGCTTATGAACATCGGGTTTTTCACTTTAATAAATATTAAAGCACCTATATTTTTTCATACCATCCATTTTTGTATACAGATTCAGTGGAGAACAACTGGCAAGAAGTCAAATGAATTTCTTTTGAAGCCATTTATTGACATAGATGAATATAATAGCTACTTACGCAATACAAATTATTATTTATAATTTTTAAAATCTATGCCTAGTAAACGAAGCATGATCCCAGGCCTGCCATTAGTGCTGCAAAAAAAAACTGCTTACTTCATTTTTGGTTTAGGCATAGATTCTCTAGCTAGACTATAACAGTTGTTATTTTTAAAGTATTCTTTTACTTTGAATTCTTTACATTACATTATTACTGCTTAGATGTTATAGTAGAGTCTACATATTACACTCAAGTCAATTTCAGCTAAACACAACCAAACGTAGAGATCCCTAAGCTTAAACAATATGTAACTTAAATATTTATTTTACTAATGTCATAAATCTGTAAATCTGAGGGCATATATTTATTAAAGACTTAACTATTTAGGTTTATACTTTACTACTTACTTATAAGTTTAGGATGTAGAAATTTAATTAGTGCAAAGAGGCAAAAGCTTGCTGATCTTTTTGTGGTTCAGAAATGTTCTGGTTAGCATCCAAGGAATGCCTAGTAATAGAAATATTGCGTTTATGTAATTTAAATGAGCTTTATTTGGGTTTACAGGTACAGTTGTGAAATGCCACATAAGTCGAAGCCAAGATGAAAACAGAAAGCTAGCTCGTGAAATGTTGATTGAAAAGTTAGATGAGACCTTAAATGGAGAACAAAGTGTAGCTGCACAGAGAAGACGACTTGAAGAAAAGAAATATAAGAGAAACGAATACAAAAAGAAAAAAATGGCGCAACTTAAGATCGAATGGAAGAAACGGGAAGGTCTAGTGTGATTAAATGTAGTCCATTACTACTTAGGATATATACATATATATATATATATAATTTAGGATCACCTGTATAGTTATTATATTGTTAATGAATTTAAAGAAACTTACCATAATAATTCTTTTATTTTTCGTACAGCAGTACAATAAATCAGAAAATACAAAGTAGACTATATTTATTTACTAATAGAATTCATAATAAAGGTAAACAAAATTTTTTCTACTAAATAACTTCTAAATTAGCTTAGAAATTAGCTTACTCTTAATGTGAGTCAATCTATATATTTAGCCTTTTATAAGACGATTGTATCAATGATTTAATATAATCGTCTTATAAAAGGTATGTAATTATTCCTACATCTTAATCAGCAGTCAGTGTTCCTGTAAAACGATAGCCAATACAACCTCTTTTCGTTATCCAAGGTATTAGGATTATGAAAGGCATTGAGAAACATTTGGTCTACCTATCCAGCAAAATACAACAATCCATTTATATTGTCAAGTCCTTAAGGAATTGCGTGGATAAAGAACTATTAGTTATGGTATTATATGTTACATGACAAGGCTCTAACGCAATTATTAGTGTACTACTACTAGAATGGGGCGGGGCTGCTAAAACAAACATCATTGCACTAGAAAGAGTTCAAAATAGAGTCAGAGTTAAATTTAGCAAAGCTACAAAAGGCAATGGGCAATTTAAAAGCCCATTGAATAACTATTAAAACATAGCAAAGTATTTACAATACGTCAGATATACGCTTAAGACCAACATTGTCAATGCATGAAGTAACTTTCAGCTCCACTGATTTCAGTCGTCTCGTCCGGCACCGTGTTTATCGTGCTGCTTTACCAACAATTAATACTACTTTCGACACTATATTTATATTAACTTGCCAATTTTAATTCGTTACGATAAAAAATTGTAAACAATGTCATTACATAATCTTTACTAATATTATAAATGTGAAAGTAACTCTGTCTCTCTGTCTTGTTTTCACGCCAAAACTATTGAAGTGATTTAAATGATATTTGGTACATATAATCCAGACTCTAGTCCCTGATAAGGGACATAGGCTACTTTTTAAAGGGAAAAAGGGTTGAAAGGAGTTTATATGGAAGTATTATCATTTGTATAGCTGGAAGCTTGAAACTTAATTTTTGGCTTTAATGTTACCCTTAAGTGGTAAATAAATAAAAAAATAAATAAAATAGAGGATGAAAAGTTGTATGGAAATTAGTCATTTTTGAAGCTAGAAAGAAAAAGTTTTTTCTTTGTTTTTTTTTTGGGATATATACTTTACTAATATTATCAATGCGAACTCTGTCTACCTGTCTGTTTGCCTGTCTCGCTTTCACGTCAAAGCTACTGAACCGATTTAAATGAAATTTTGATACACAGTCTGGTGTATTGTATATATTTGTCTAATAATCATTTCACATCATTACCTGTTTTCATGACGACTGCCCATTACGGACAAGACAGACACGTTCCCTAGTTCATCTATAAAATATTCTCACATCAGCCGTCACACACACAGTTATATTCGATGATTTTCTATCAATTTATGTAACCTTTCTTGTTCATATACTATTTTATTTGTATAGCAATTACTGCCGACCCCAAAGTCTAAATCCAGAGAAATATTATATATAGGCATAGGCTATTTTTAATGCGAAAATGGTTGTAAGGGATTGAAAAGTGAGATAAAGATTTGTATGGAAATATCGTTATTTTTAAAGCCAGTAGCTTGAAACAAATGCGTGATTGATTTATGTTTGGTTAAAAACAAACGTTTGTAAGGGGTTGAAAGGGGAGATGATAGGTTGTATGGAAGTATAGTCACTTTAAAGCTAGCCAGCTGGACTGCACACCGATCGATCCCTCATAAATTCAAACTCACCCCCTATAGTGCGGTAAAGCTGAAAAGGCCAGCTGGGACTAACAGCATTACAGTAATCCGAAAAGCAATCTGGTAAGTGGCAGAAGACGAGTCTACCACTGTCTATCGAATTCATTTAGGTTTGTTATGTGTATGTTCATCTGAACCTTACTTTTTGGGTAATAAGGAACACATAGAAGCTTCATATGTAGTATACATAAAGATAGTAGATATACAATATTATTTATCGACTAATGGTACTGTGCTAATATTGTATATCTACATACAATATTAGCACAGTACAATTAGTCGATACAAATATATAACAAACCACTGGAATATTTGAAAAATATAAAATATTTATATCTATTTTAAAATAACTACTTTAAAAAAATGTTATTATAATGTCAGTGAATATTTGACAGATAACATATGAATGATAAAATCAGTATATATATATACACAGTTATATACACATAGATCAGAAAAATAATGCACAAAATAATTAAAACCTGTTAAAGCCACCATCATGTTAACCTTTATTGTAACACTATGGAATACAAATGAATAAATAAATATTAAATATAAAGGTAGATGTAAAGGTAAACAAATGAAAGCCCTTGGGCACAGTACACACTAGCAGATAGGATACGGGATGGCGTCCCGTGCCCGTGACGTCATTGACCGTGACCCACCGTGTACTGGATACCCTTACTCGTGGAAATAGATTTCTCATGCAACTGTAACTAATTTTCCAATATACCTTCTAAACAAATATCATAAAAGACGACACGTGGCGAAACGTGCCGAGTCGGTCTGTATGTTCGCAATAATCGCAAAATCTACTAAACGGATTTTCATGTAGTCTTCGTGTATCAACATAGTGATTTGTTAGGAAGGTACTATCTATCTATCTATGGGTACTATCTAACCCAATGTACTTTATTCGGAACATACAGTAAGCAAAAGTCATAATGTATTATCGAATACATATATAATTACAACAACTGGCCTTATAGCTGAAAGCAATGTTTTCGAGGCAACCATGGGGAAACGGATTTAAATATCGAGGAGGTAGGTACAATGGAAATATGAGAAAAAAATGAAACATAATGTTGACGGAAAATAATAATATCTTATAATGTATATACTAATTCATTTATGTCTATTACTGGTTGTGATAAGAAAGAGCGGGGTTTCTTCTTGGTCTCGTAGGAAGATAATATAAACACAGACAAAATATTGTGCATTTTTTTAAAATATGTTCTTATTTTTTCTTTAATATCTCGCGAAATTGTCTCAATCGTTACGTTAACCGGGAGTAGGGTGCGGGTACACAACTCAGTATTTAGGTCAAGGGTGGAACAATGTCGGGCCATAATTATTTCAGTTACTACCCTCTTCTATTACATGCACAAAGATTACTATTATTGCGTATGGTATTTGGTACATTTATATGTATTTTTATTATCTGTTTGACTTCGTCTGCTTGTGTAGTTAAAATATATATATGGTCTATAATATAGTTGTTTCCGACCTAGTGATACAGTCTAGTAGGTATACCTATTAATATAGGTATTTGTCCATTTTCATTCGACCCCCTGTGCTATTGAAACGGCCATCGAAATTACGGCGAGGAGAGCCGAGGTAGCATAAAGTCTTAAAGTCTCGTTCTAAAGAGTTGGCCTTCGTCGCTTCGTTACTCCTTCCTTTGAGGTAACTATCGTCTGCACTAGCACCCATTTTCGTTCGATGAAGTTACGGTAGGTTAGGTCAGTTACGCTAAAAAAATAATTGCGATCCGTTTGAGCGTTTATTTGTGAAAAAGACATACCTATTAATACGAAAATAAATAATTACAGATTTGTTATCTATCTTCTGTTTTTATATATAATACGTTTCTTTATTGCAGTGACGTAGTTTACGAAACGAATATCTTACCTTGTTAAAAAAGTGAGGTTATTATGTTTATGATTTATGTATTAATATTTTATAATATATAGTTAGTCGTAGAAACTATTATGCTAAACCGAAAGCTATTCATAAAACAAACAAAAAACACTTTTGAACGCTGCTAGGTATTAATAATGCGCAATCTAGGCCTGAGCTAAGCAGAGCTTGTGTTATGGGTATTTGACAATTGATATAAATACATTTTTTTAAAATATATACATAATATAAATAAGAAACATCCAGACCAATACAAACAATCATACTGATGAATACAAATGTTTGTTCTGCGAGAGGAAATAAACCCGCGACAGGCGCAAAAACGGTGACATGAATGGTTATAATAAAATAATACGAGTTTATTTTCAAATTTCTTCACTTCTTGGGTTGACCAAGATGTTTTCTCAGACACCATCTACGGTAATTCTTCTGCAAGATTTGCTATTGACTTTATTTTACAGTAAGTAACCTGCGTAGTGTAGCTTATTTATTTATTTATTTTTGTGGCATACATTTACCTTAGATAAGTTTTCTTTTTATCTTTAACTATTAAAATTTTATATAATGCGTAAAATAATACTACTTAAATACTTACATCGAAGGTTGAAGTTGGCTGGTTCTTTGTGACATCGTGAATCTTGAACAAATCCGAACAGTTAGAACATTGTCTTTTTTGACCTCATTCAATGGATACTCATCCACTATGATGAGTATAAATAATCTTCTACCTCTGGGATTTATAAGTCAGTGTATTGTGTGGTATATTTGCAATAGGTATACATATTTAATACAAAACGTAACATACAAAGCTATTTCAAATATCTTGAGCCGGGTTCTTGTCAGCGCTAATCTTGGGTTTAGAGAACAGTTATTGTGAATTTCTGTTTCATGTGCCGACAATTTAGTACTTAGATTTATTTTAATTTCTTGGGAAAATCTTCCATTATATTAGTTCATATAGTGTCTAATATTAGAAACAAAAGGACCTACATACCTAATTGATTGGTACAAAAAGCCATATATGGGAGGCAATACGGCACCTACATATATTTGTGTTGCATTTATGCTTTAATAAATACTCGTACCAAACATTTATACCAATATTATAAATGTGTAAATGTCTTTTACTTATGTCTCTTTGTAACCTTTTTACAACTTTGCGTAATGAAATTTACCATGAAAATGTCACTGTATTATGAGGATAGGAATGGGCTATTTTTTATCCTGATAATTAATCTAGGAAAGGATGAAATAGGGGATCAAAGTTTATACAGGTGAAGCAGCTGGTGACAG